CCGAAGGAGGGGGCTGACATCGTGGTGGACATCGTGGTCAAGATCGATTGGACTCGCATGACCCAGAGCACCAGCGAGACGGACCACAAGGTGCACCGCCGCGTCATCTTCGTGCGCTAAGTGAGCACGGCGCCGCCACGGCACCGCATCTTCGCGCGGCACATCACGTTCGTGACCGTGATTTTTTCTCACCGCGAGCATACGTGCACCGCGTGAGGGCCTCTTTGAATTATGCTTCCAGACCACTGGAACCATTATTCTGTCGTCTGAAATAATGTTCTCCCCCCACCCCTACCCCATCTCATCGTAGACATGCTCGCCCCCTCGCCATTGTCCTCGTCCTCATCCGCTCCTCCTCATCCTCCGCTTCCCCATCGTCACCCTACAAATCCTCATCCTCATCCCCGCCAGCCCCTCATGTTCCACAGATTCGTTCCTCCGTCTCCACGCCCCTCCGCCACCCCCCTCAAACCGCCCCCCATCATCACCCCCCCTCCAAATATAGTCGAACTGTTGCGACGGCGCGGGGCACAGCCGCCATCCTGCCCAACGAGAGCCCCCCCCCCCCCCCCCCCCCCCCACCCCCCCCCCCCCCCCACACACACCACCCACCACCACCCACCCACCCCGCCAGGCACAGCGCGTCGACTCGCACCTTCGGGCGCGGGATTTCCCTAGCCAGGTCCGCCGCGAGCGCCGTTTGGTTGGGACCCTCCCCCTCCTAATCGCGCCGCCCCCTCCCCCCCGCCCCCCCCGCCCCCCCCCCCCCCCCATCAACCTCCCACACTCGAATCCATCCTCCAACTCCAACTCCAACTCCTAATCGCCAACTCCTAATCACCAGCCCTAATCACTACCATAGTCTTCATTCTCCAACTCCTACTCACCACCATCTTCTTCATTCTCAATCGTACTACTCCCAAGCATCGGACCCTCCTTATCCTCCTACTTCTACTCCCAATCCTAAGCATGCATCTTCCTCCAACTCATAATCATCGGACCCCCTCATAATCCTAATCCTCATACCCCCCCCCCCCCCCATCCGCAATGACAGTATTTGCATGGTATGTTTGAATGACAGTAAACCAACAACAAATATTGTCATATCAATACGTCGTGTGTGTTACATGTATTATTACATGTTTTCATATTAAGTGGGTACATGACGTATGGGGATATTTAACTACATTGAAGTAGTTTATTACATTGACTTATATTTGAATATGATTGAAGACGTTTGTATACGTTTGCATACGTTTGCATACGTTTGCATACGTTTGCGTGTGTTGCCATACGTATGCCATACGTATGACAACACACGCAAACGTATGCAAACGTATGTAAACGTATGCAAACGTACGACATCATGACAATATTATCTGATACTAAATACGCAGAGTTCGAATACAATACATATGTATACACGTGTTTACACATGTAAGTATATCAATATATGGATGTTTTATATGAACATGTATATAAAGTAACAATATCTATATGTTCGTGCGAGTATGACTAATTATTGTTTTGTGCACATACTACTACATGTGATTCTGTAATGTTGATATTCCTTGTGATGCATTATGGCACGACACACGGTCGAGTTGATCAGTCCATCAGTTTGTAATTGGAATATCAACCATGCACACATATGATTTTAGGCCCAAATCTTCGGCCACGACCTTCGGGACCCATCGTGCACGGTGGTCGCCATGGCTC